ACACGCACACACACAATACATGCACACACGCACCCACAGACGTATGCACACATATACACACACACAGCTCACGCACGCATGCACCAACACACCACAACATGCAGACGCACGCACGCATACACACACACGCACAAACACACACACGTACACACGCACACACACACGCGCGCGCGCGCGCACACACACACACACATGCACCCATACACTTTTCAATATTCGGTCTATCGGACCTTCGGTCTATCGGACCTTTCGCCGTCCTATCGGACCTTCGGTCTATAGGTCCTTTTCAATATTCGTCTATCGGACCTTCGGTCTTATAGGTCCCTTTTCAATATTCGGTCTATCGGACCTTCGGTCTATCGGACCTTCGGTCTATAGGGCGGCCCCCGTTATATCAGTGCTCTAACTGAATTTGAATAGGCACATTGTCATATTAAATACACATTCCAAATCTTAGAGGCTCTAAGATTTGGAATGTGTATTTAATATGACAATGTGCCTATTCAAATTCAAACTTCAAAACATACAGATGTATAGTGAAAGTAGGATAAATGCAGATTGAAAATAGGCTTATTTTTCATAATTATGTACTGATAGTATAAACAATTTTGTAAATAATGTTTTATTAGTTATCATACTTATAATATATATTTTAGATACTTTTAGCTACATTCCTCTTTGAAATTTACAAATTGACCTTGTAAAATGATCAGAATTGGTTGCTTTCAACATAGCCTGAAAATGCAGGAAATGCCGTTTCCAAGCTCTACATTTCTGGGGGAGTACCCCCAGCCCCACCCCCTCCAGCATCAGCTACATATTTCTGCAGTGGCACTTTTTGGGAGGCCACTACGGCCCTGTTATATATATACATATATATTATATAATCCTATATATATTAATATTATCAAAAGTGTATAATAATTAATAGATCTATTTTATTTAGATAGATTATCATAGAAATATAGAGATAGTGAAATATATAGTATACTTTAGTACCTATATATATTTCAATGATTATTATACACTTAGTCCTGATATGATCAAGAGCTAATAATGCCTAATAAATATAAATATAAATAATAATAAATATATAGGGCCCTATGTGCGGCATTTGCTACCACAATAACGGGATGGCGCTTCGATCGACGGCTGGCGGAAGCGTAGTCTGGTACTCGCTCCCACCTCGATTACTCGATGTTCTTGAGTAACTAAGCCGAAAGGTGGGGTGGGACCGGGTACCAGTCTAGCGAAAGCGCGGGACGTTGCTAAGAGAACGCGAGTAGCTGAATTTAGAACGTCCATAGTTCATTCGGTAGGAACATTAGCATATGATATTACCATATTACCATTACCATATGATATTAGTAGAAAGAAGCAAAGAAAGATGCCATTCACAAGTACAGGTACGTAGGGCCTATTAGTTGTTATTTGGACATGTACCGTTGTACGTAGCAATGAATGGACTAGCCCGACCAGGCTGTGCGACGGAGTGTCTATACGGAGTTCTAACCCTAGCAATACCGTTTCTCGGAGCTATGAATGGACTAGCTCTAGTACTAGTCTAGTCTATAGCCCGCGTTATATTATTACGCGTACAGTTGCCGCCGCCCTGCGGCAACTGTACGCGAGCCATGTGCTAAAGCTATGTATGGACTAGCTCTAGTAACTATAGCCCGCGTACAGTTGCCGCAGGGCTATAGACCGTAACATGGCCATTTCGAATGCGTTTTTAGCTCATCGGACATAGTCAGATATGTAGCTCTGGTACTATAGGCCTAGCCCGCGGATCGCTGCCGCAGGGCTATAGCACATTCTGCCATAGATGTAATCTAAGCAAATGGTCTAACTGATGTGACCAAAAATTTATCCCCAAAACGTAAAATGATCGGGCTTTTTAACACTTATCTATCAACATGGCCATCTCACCTATCTTTTTGAACACTTCCACAACTTTACACCAGGTATTTATGCTGTTATTCCTCAAAGTCTTAGCACTGAAGAGTCACGCGTGCACACATAAGCAGAGCAACCGCATTTGAAAACAAAACACCAGTAGTGGCACTGTGCTAAGACTTTGAGGAATAACAGCATAAATACCTGGTGTAAAGTTGTGGAAGTGTTCAAAAAGATAGGTGAGATGTCCATGTTGATAGATAAGTGTTAAAAAGCCTGATCATTTTACGTTTTGGGGATAAATTTTTGGTCACATCAGTTGGACCATTTGCTTAGATTACATCTATGGCAGAATGTGCTATAGCCCTGCGGCAGCGATCCGCGGGCTATAGTACTAGAGCTAAGTCAGATGCAGCTTGTAGAATCGCATGATCGTCCGTCCGTCTGTCCGTCCGTCTGTCCGTCTGAGCGAGCGTCCGTCCGTCAACAGTTGGGCACAAATCTTAACCGCTCGACGTACGGTCACGATATTCGGGACGTGGGGGGTAATCCGAAAACGAGTTGGGATGTCGAAGCTGGGGGTCAAAGGTCTAAGGTCAAGAGGTGTAAAAGAAGGACAGGGCCGTAGTGGCCGCCACGGCAGCACGGCACTGCCGTGGCACTATTTTGAAAAAGAAAATTCTGCAGGGAACCAAGGAGCAACATATACCAAGGAGATGAAACCCCGGGGGCGGGGGGGGGAGGCACTCACCCCACATTATGGTAGGTATGTGCCAGTTCAAAGTCAAAAATGGGGGGGGGGCTCTGTAACTAACTCAAATCTGAAAATGGGGGTCTCCGGAACTAGGATTTCGTTGAAATTCAATGCTATAACACTGGACACGTTTAAAAGAGGGGGTCTCCGGAACTGTGGGGGGAACAGTGATTTGCTTTAAAAACTATGCTGTAGCACTTGAACCAATAATAATTATTGTTGTATTATGTAGAGGAGAAAAAACATGACCCGGAGAGAGATGAACGCACGCACACGCACGCACACACGCACGCACGCACGCACGCACACACACACACACACACAACACACACACGTTGCATGCATGCCTTGACGTCCCGCCTTCAACGTATTCTGAAGTACGATGCACTGGAACGGAAATATTAAAAACTAGGGTTTCCGGAACGACAAAAATGTAAGATCTGCATGGTAACTAAACTTAATGGTCTGGAACGAGATATTCTTAAAAATGCGATGCACTGGAACGGAAGTTTAGGGTTATGGTTGAAAATGGAGGTCTCTCCCGCGGCACATACCTACCATGCAATATATATGGAGCGCCCCCCCCCCGACCCAGCACGACCCAGTTAAGACTCAACAATGCAATGGTCATGCATGTGCACCGTGACATGTTAGACAAGGTAGATGATCACGATGTAATTTCAGAATTTGTAAGTTGCCATCCAGGCAGAAAAGATAAAATTGGAATAATAAAAAAATAAAATGACAAGTTATCTGACTGGACTGTCTGGTATTACTATTAATACTGATCAATTAGAGGAGGTTACAGCCCTATAGACCGAAGGTCCGATAGATCGAAGGTCCGATAGACCGAAGGTCCGATAGACCGAAGGCCCTATAGACCGAAGGTCCGATAGACCGAAGGCCCTATAGACCGAAGGTCCGATAGACCGAAGGCCCTATAGACCGAAGGTCCGATAGACCGAAGGTCCGATAGACCGAAGGTTATGTGTTCAAGGTGAAAATCCTGACGCGCAGGCGCAAAACTGTCTATATATATCGGCAGGGAAAATCCTGACGCGCATGCGCAAAACTGTCTAGTTTACAATCACTTCATATTAGACAACACTCGTAGCTACGGTGAGGTTTGAATTTTGTCATTTGGCATGGGTTTTCAGCATATTTTGGCGTGTGTTTTCGTTTTGATTTTGTTTTCTACATTTTTGTCTACTTGCCCGATCGGACAACCGGTATTCAGAATCAACTTGTCCGGACCCAAGTCTGGTATGCCAAACCAATCGGACAATGCCTAATGTCGAGCCCTGTGTTATTTTAACGATTTCTTCGAACCTGATCAGTGCAGATTGCAGATCAAAATAGGTCTGATGAGAGAGATAATGCTGCTGTCGGTTTTTGTGGGGGACATTGCGGTACCAGTTTTGAAACCAATGCAAAACATTCTTTAGGGTTTCAAGCCGTTCATCACTGGCAGAGGAAATCTGAGCATGACTACGGAATACGCTGATTATTGCAGCGGTGTTCTTAATGAACAAAATGGTGCCATCTATGGTGGTGCCAAGGTTCATCACCTGTCTGTACTTCTGGAGAACAAGAAAAAGGTAAAGAAAATTAGTGCTCAGTTCTATTACTCAACTACTTATACACATCAAAGGTATTTGGTTTCGGTGTTTTGATGCCTTTTGTCACAGACGTACAGTTGGTTGGCGTGTCGCACACTCACCTTTAGCAGACTTAACATGTCTTCATTGAGCACTTCCAATGCGAGGCTATTGCGCATTTTGGATGCAGAGTCGAGGAACATGTGACCTTGTGTTAAGTGATGGTGCTCTCTTTTGCTGTTTGCAGCAAAGTCCCACTCAAAGGCATCTCTAATATGGTGCCAGCTGATCACCTTGTTGTCTACTATTAGACATCGTTTGCCAGTGATGGTCCCATAGATGTTGTTTCGCAGTTTCTTGATCAAGTGCTGTGGAAAATAAGAAGTGATACCAAACTATCAATCACCATGTCACCGAAGTTTGGTCTACGTGGCTGCAAATCGAAAGACCTGTACTAATAATAAATAATACTGCAACAATTGCAGAATATGATAATTGCTTCGCAGAACTTGATCTGCTGGGGTGATATGCAAACTTGGATGCTTACAGATGGATCCATCAAGAAAACCATTGGTTCTGTGGAGACCGGGTTCATAGTAAATCTAGCCTTGACAGCTTCATCAGCTGTGTGGAAATGCATTTCGACAAATGTTCTATTGATCTGAGCTCCATCAAAGCACATGTAGATGACCTATATAAGCAAACCGAATATGTCATATAACTTCAACAACAAACCAGGAGCATAATATTCCCTCATAACAGTCTATTGCTGACATTCATATTTATAATTTAAAATATTAACAGCAACATTTAGCCATTTAAGTGAAATATGTTATTATTTTGAAATGACCTTGAAATTACTTTTTAGAAGCCACCGCACTGCCTCCCAAGCAATCGTGTAGAGTGTGGCAGCTTCAGAACATCGTGTAGGGAAATGCGCGAATGGAAAACGGAAGCCTGTTGTTCCAAGAAACATGAGCTGCAGCTCGTGCGTTGCCAGCTCTGTATCACACGTACCTGCATGACATAATGATTGCAATTGTTAGTGTAGGTATGGTTTTTTTCATTATCGAAGAATGTTATTCATTGATACAAATGTTAGTTACCTTTACGTAGCATTGAGTGTACTTTCCCAAACTGCCCTTCTTCCACCACTCCAAAATAAAACACATTCTCTGCCGGACAAATGTCTTAAGTTACTATAAACACTAAAATTAAACAGCAAACTATCGCTTAAATATTGTACTTGCGATATTACTCAGCGACGAAGATTGTTTATCAACTTGTAACCGCCATTTCTCGTTGCGCACGCTCGCGCAGTTCCGTAAAAATATTAGTATATATATTTATTATTAGTACAGCTCCAAGAATCTAGCACTGAAAAGGACATAAAGGATATATTTGCTTGGTTAGGAAGTGCTGGAAAATTTGAAAATACACTTACTTTTATGCATGCTCATTATACAGAATTTAGAAAAACCATTCAGAAACTCATGCAACCAAAGGATATCACCAACTTTCAAAGGCAATGGCATGCACTATTTACAAGCAAGCCCGAACTAGCAAGGTGGCAGAACCTGTTGAGTATTGAAGAGCTGAAACCGTTTCATTGGCAGGCTAGGCATGATATGCTGACAGGCATCGAGCTGGAGATGTTGGAAGAGATGGCAGTTCTGAGGGGAACAGGAGATGTTGAACGACACTGCTCGGCCCATGTCAGTATCACCTCACAGGGTAAAGTTCGTTACTGTGGTGGGAGATGTGTGGCCAAATTGAGAACGAAATTAAAATCAATGTATCAAACCCATATGTACACCAGCAAACAGCTAAGTTCTGAAATAGAGACAAAACTCAGTTTAATAGAGGCACTCACTGCACAGTACCACACTTTATCTACTGAGTCTGCACAAGTCGGTACACTCATGGCAACTAAACAAAGACAGGATGCACGGCACTTCCTTACCCATATCACTGATGCTGCTTTCAACTTCTTCCTGGCCATTGAAAAGGAATGTGTGCAGCTTCTCACTCAGCATAGGTTCGCAACACTGGGTGCAGCAGTACTAAGTGACACCACAACGCAACTGGAAAGGAATGCCACGTTGTACGAGCTGTGGCTTAAAGCTATCATCAGCCCACATGCCAGCTACGATGTTGTGGAGACCGAAGATGCTGACACAGCGTTGGAAGTCGGCAGTCACCTAAACTCTATTGTTCGCTTAGTCTGCTGCAAACCTGAAGAAGTCTTCAAGGAGTTGCTGCATCGATACATGCGAATTTTAAACAATGAGTTCAGGAAAGAGCTGCTTCACAAACATCAGGTCAAGAAAACTGCTGCACACAGAAAAAAAGTTGTCACCAGGAAGAGTAAGACAGCTTCACTCAGGGGCAAGATTTCCATTGCTGACATTGCTAAGGACACTTCAAGAAACCGCCTTAAGTCGCACCTTATGCTGACAGATGCAGTCAAGATCAACAGGAACTTTTTCCGTGACAACTACACTGTCATGGAGTTGATGCTCATCGTAAAAGCATACAATCTAAAATTGACAGCTAGACAAAAGCAAAAAATAAATGACAACCTTGCCGACCATGTAATTGCAAGCAGTACATTTGCCGACCCAGCCCAGTTCAATTCCTACGGGAAATCGACGTCGCTTCCACTGCAAGGCACAGCATCTCAACATCAACCATCATCATTTGAGGGGCCATCTACGAGTCAGCTCATCGAAAGTCTGCCGCACTCAGACATTGGGGAAGTGAGGATGGATGAAGACACAGAAGCTTACCTTTGCCCTGCATGCGACGGACTGTACGATGACGAGCAGGCAGAGTTGTGGGTAGGCTGTGATTTCTGTGATGCATGGTGGCATAAGATCAATAGATTATGGGCGGGAATCGCGCTAGTTTTCTACTTTCGATCGCGTATAAGAAGGGTTTATTGGCAAGGCGGTTTCAGCCTAATCCGTCAGTGACTTCAGAACAGGCAGGGTACACAGGGCGGCTAGTTCCAGCGTGACCGCCAACACCATAAACGCGGGCAACCGAGATGATGAGACATACCATTACGCTCACTCCCAGACAAGCCCGCCACCCCCACCTACGCTACAAATACCCCCCCCCCTCCACCCCTACCCCCACCTACCGTCACAGGTCTGCCACGAAACCAGCCCCGTCTCCTTCGCCGGCCATTCCCACCTGCTTCCCGGCACCCACTACGCCAGACGATACTGTAAATCACTCACTGTGCGATACAATAGACGATAGTAACGCGTTTGCACGACGCCTGCCCGAGGGACAGTTTAACGACGCCACAGATCGCAAGCCGGCATAAACAACAAACACACAAACCTACGTGTTCAGTTAACCACGTTCTGAGTATTCAGAATCAACGCGACAACAACAACAACAACAACAACAACAACAACAACAACACCATGGCGCCCAGGGACAACACAACGACATGGGAAGCGCTGTACGGCCTCCTCACCGACCTGGCAGAGCCCGACAGCACTGCCGACGCCATGACAGATAGCCACCTGTACGCGGCGGAGGTCGCCGAGAGCTTGCAGCTGCAGGCCGACAACGCCGCAGCACAGGAAATCGAAGAGGAAGCAGAGGAGGAGGCCTCATCAAGCTACCTCAGCAACTGGGGAGGAGAAGATCCGGAGAGAGAGGGAGGAGACAGCTGACGAGTGGAGGGAGCTAGAGGAGGCACAAGGGGAGCCGCACGCCTACGCTCCGCTAGCAGACCACGAGGAATGGCAGGGGTGGGAGGACTTGTTTGGGAGATCCCTCCGAATACTCCCACAGTAGCAACCAGACTCGTGGCTGCGCCGTCACCCGGACGGAAGGAGGAGAGAGACGACGCAAGCTCGCTGCTACAACGAGATGCGTCACCGGCGGACCACCGACTACCCGCCGATGTCGCCACTGTTGGAGCTGCATAAAATGGACCAGGAAGGGGTGGCCGTCCAGAAAAGTACCTCCGAGTGTGTTTCGGTCGGTGCGGGGAAGGCCATTAATATAAAACGCCTGACCCTGGCAACAGTATATTCACAATAGTTGGCTGTTTTTTATACGGCAAGATTAATTGTGGAGCCAGCATCATCTGTCACGCAGTGGCAGCTTTCGCGAACTTGCCCAAAGCGCGCCAAAGTCTGACGGGGTTTTAAATTTTTTTAAGGGGGCGATCCCACTCCCGCCAACCAGGGATGCAAATTGAAGCGAGCCTGGTGGATGGCGAAGCAGGCAGGACGACTACGATGAGTACCTGCCTGGGGGGATTTTGACCCATTTATTCCGGATACACGGGGGGAGTCTTTGATGGAACCTACTATACGCGCCTCAGGCATACATCCAATATTGGGGGGTTGAATACAGCGACCCGAAGGCCCACTACAGCATCTCGATGGGTTTGCACCACAGATGTCACGTATAGTCTGACCGAAGCTGTCACCGTACACATAACGACCACGGTCGCCCACCGCCATGGGGCCCCTTCGCCGAGGTGCCGGAACGCAAACGACGTCGGTTGCGGGGCCTAGCTTGAGGCTAGCTAAGTTTGGTTTGTTGTCGCTTGGTTTGCATGGGCTTCCGCCCATTAGGCTGGGTTATTAAGTAGGTAAGGGCAAACTGTTCCTTCTTCCCTTTCCCCGCAGACTAACGGGTTCTGGCAGTAGTACTGACATAAACAAACGGGTATTTTTCCATCTTAAAAGTCACAAGATAAAATGTAATTTCATGTGAATATTTTTACCCAATTTTCTCTCATATGGCATTTTTCTCAATATGGTTCTGCCATGTTATTATTGTGTACGGCAGTACCCAAAGGCCAACCCGGCCAAGTATAACCTTACATAGCAGTTTTACAACCTTTTCCGCGAATTTTTCCGTTTTTAATGCATGTTAGTAGTTTTGATACGCGCGTTAAATAACAATCCGCAAACATAACATTTCGGACGCGAATTGTAAACGTTGTGGCTTTTACAGTTAAATATGGCCATTTCTATCACTGGCAGCAAGATCAAGCGCCGCACGTACAGCACACGACGCGGCGCCATTGACTATATATATAAACAAACATGGTGTCGAACCGCCGGCAGTCGCCGCCGCAGTTTTCCACAACTCACCGTTTTTAAATCAGTTACAACTTCCCGTGTTCCTGCAGGTGACAGCCACTTTGTCCAACTATCGTTGGAATCGCGGACCATTGGCTTAACCATATACACCCCGCCAATTTTGACAATGCGGCCCCGCCAGAATGCGCGCTTAAATCACAGAAATTCTCAAATATAGCTTGCCTATAATGATACATGTTTTTTTTTTTTGATTTTTTTTTTTTTTTTTTTTTTTTTTTTTTTTTTTTTTTTTTTTTTTTTTTTTTTTTTATTTTTTTTTTTTTTTTTTTTAAAATTTTTTTGTTTTTTTGTTTTTTAATTTTTTTTTTTAGAGCCTTGCTACAGGGGAAGGCGCGGCTGGCTGAACCGTTGGCGGCTGGCTGATTGGCTGCAGCAAGTTTTTTAATGCGCAGACAGGTCTGCGAACTACCGCTTGTTGACATCGCGAGGGTGAGTCATGGTAGACGGACGCGCTCTGTCTCGCTGTACGCTCGTTCGAATCTGTAATCCTTAGCGGGATGAGGGGTTCGTCTATTAGCTGGCGAAGTGGCGGGGTTTAATGTTCATTGTGGGCGTGCATTATATGATTTTATAGATGTGTATTAAAATCGTGCCCCATTATATGCAACAGATTAATACTGGCGAAAATGGATGTGCCCATTGCTATGGAAGATTGTGGGCACCGTCGCTTGTAAGTGCAATAGAAATCATAATATTCTGCAGTAATTGTCCTAGTGTCAACTGTGTACCTGCCTGATTGTATATATTGTCAGTAATGTGAATAGAGCTACATCCACTCTTGCAATCAGGAACGTAGCTAACTCATTTTGCCACAGTCATCATCTGTATGCCACAGTCGTAATTTACCATGTAATTGTCAGTACATGCTATAATAAATTGCTAGATAAGTTGAAATTTCTACTTAAATCTATTTATCTATTAAATATTTTAAATATTATTATTATATTATTATCATTATTATTATATTAAATATTAAATATTAAATCTATCTATTATCTATTAAATCTAAAATCTAATTTCTACTTCTACTTCAATATTTATTGCAATAGGTGTATCTTTAGTTTGAAATTTCTATAGATGCATGAATTCATGCAATGTACAGCAGCGGCAGTGGAGACGTATGTTTGCACGTGACAAAATAACGTTACGGTTTCGCGGGGTGGGGGGAGCTATGGTGGAAGGCTGGGGGTAATTCGTATTATTGTTTTTGTTTTTATGTTAAAAAAAAAAAAAAATATTTTTTTTTAGTTGTGTATTTAGTGTTCTAAAAAAAAAGTTAATACATTTTAATAAATATTATAATTCTTTCAAATCATTACATGTAATTTCAGGCTGACAACTTCACTGGCAGATGACAGCCAAGTGGCATTAATGAGCTATTGCATCACAGTGCCGTATATCTAATAGTACGATATCAAAGCAACTATTTGTGAACCACTGGCCTAGAGAATCTTTGGACCGTGCTTCGTCCACGACCTTTCGCATGTGTTCGTCGCAGAGAAAACGAGCAAAGCAGTGGAGATGTGTTCATTTTTATGAATGTGTGATCTACACTGAAACGCTCTGAGTGTAACGAAGCCAACAAGAACCTTTTAGGCGTTAAAAATATCTGGTATTGCAACACAAAATACGATGCTTGCACGAGTGGCCACGACATTGAGACAGGTTTAAATGGATCAACCTCGTATATCATCGTTTTTGGCCTATACCCTGAAAACAGCCAGTGTCGTCTTGTTGTATGCGGTACAGAAGTGTCACAGTGCGACAGGTGGAAGTTCCTTCTGCGAAGGTGGCTCATCCACTTCCTACTGCTGCATTACGTAAAATAAAACTATGACAGGGGTTATCGAGCGAGAAGCTGTTCCCAATGGTTGTAGTGAAAAACGGGTTTGGGCTTAAAGAAATGCCATTAGCAGTTCAAGGTGGTCTAACAAACATCAACAAGATACCTCATCTGACTTCAAAGCGTACAGATTTGACAGTCTGAAATGTGCAAGACGGCTATGCCATTCGAATAAAAAAATATGTAACGTCCCGTAAATGTGCTACGAATGTGGAACGTCTTACAAGCACATGAAAACTATATAGCCAAGCGGCATCAGGTCAGAGAAAGGAGCAGCCGCTAACAGACTGCACAAACGAGGCTACCTGGACAAGAAACGTTATACGTCACAGCAGCAGGCAGTGACCCGGGCATATTTCATGAGAACACATCAGTAGATATTCTTGACCTTTGTGAATCTTCCTTCTCCGACATTGTCAGCAACAGAAAAAGGCAACATTAGTGGATATCTCACCAATCCTGAAGAAAGTGCTCAGCGGCAAAGCGGAAAACTGGTCATCGTGGGAAATAGTAGAATTATTGATAATATATATATCATAACCTAAGTGCAAGGTTAAAGTTTATGTGGTCTCCGATCACTCAATCATGTAATTGAAATACTATATATATAAAAAAAATCATATTATATCCTATCATGTACGTGCTCTTAGAAAACTTATTGTTCTTTTCCAGCATCATTCAGAAGAGTCTGGCGCTATGGTGCAGAAGCCCACAAGCGTATGAAGACATGTTTTTGCCCATGCCCTCACCAAAAACGCTTGGCCTTTACAAGAACTATATTTTTTTTTTATTTTTTTTTTCCCAGACTCCTGGTTTCTCTGCAGACGTGATGGGTTGGATGGCAAAAGAAGCAGAACGAGCCAAACTCACGCCAGTGGGATATACGGGGCGGTTTGATGTTTGATGAATGTCTGTCCAGGTAATGTGTGAAGAACAGATGCTTATCACAAGTAATAAATGGTTGTGTGCCATAAACTTAGTTCCCGCGCTGTTGTACCGTAGAATTTGGTTGTGCATGCGCGTGACCTGTTGTAAGCTTGGTAGTTTCGATGTGTATATATAGCCTAAAAGCTGTATTATAGTTTCAGGTCGGTCCCTTTTAATTCCACTTGTAAAAATAACCTTTTTAAATCATTAAAAATAAAATAACTCAAAAAATTTATCAAATTTTAAATATCAATAAATTTAAAAAATTTATCAAAGATAAATCAAAGATAACTCTCGTACATAAACTATTGAACAAAACCATGACACAGACACGGCATACCATAACCTCAAACTGGTGTACAATCATGTGCTTTAACAACAAGCTGAAAACCAATCGTTTAATTAAATTCCAGGAAGCCCTGCAGCTGAACTATAGAAATGGTCAAGCGGACTTCGTCGGAGTGGTGGGAAGAAGGGCAGTTTGGGAAAGTACACTCAATGCTACGTAAAGGTAACTAACATTTGTATCAATGAATAACATTCTTCGGTAATGAAACAAATACCCATACCCTACACTAACAATTGCAATCATTATTCATGCAACGGTACGTGTGATACGCAGAGCTGCAACGCAACGAGCTGGCAGCTCAATGTTCCTGGAACAACAGGCCTTCCGTTTTCCAGTCGCGCATTGTCCCTACACGATGTTCTGAAGCTGCGACACTCTACACGAATGCCTTGGAGGCAGTGCGTGTGCTTCTAAAAAGTAATTTCAAGGTAATTTCAAAATAATAACATATTTCCCTTTAAATGGCGAAATGTTGCCGTTAATGTTTGAAATTTTAAACATAAAAGAATGTCAGCAATATACTGTTATGAGGGAATATTATGCTCCTGGTTTGTTGTTGAAGTTATATGACATATTCGGTTCGCTTATATAGGTCACCTACATGTGCTTTGATGAGCGCTCAATCAATAGGACATTGTTGAAATGCATTTCCCGCACTACTCATGAAGCTTCAAGCCCAGAATTCACAACTATGAACCCGGTCCCAGAACAATGTTTTCTGATGGATCCATCTGGTAAAGCATCCAAGCTTTGCATTATCACCCCAGCAGATCAAGTTTGCGAAAGCAATTATCACTATTCTGGCAATTGTTGCAGTATTGATTTATATTAGTAGCAGGCCTTTGTTGCAGCCACCGTAGACAAACTTCGGTGACATGGTGATTGATATGTTTGGTATCACTTGTTATTTTCCACAGCACTTGATCAAGAAACTCGAAATAACATCTATGGGACCATCACTGGCAAACGATGTCTAACAGTAGACAACAAGGTGATCAGCTGGCCACATATTAAGAGAGCCTTTGAGCTGGACTTTGCTGCAAAGCACAAAAGAGAGCACCATCGCCTAAACACAAGGGCACATATTCCTGCGACTCTGCCTCCAAAATGCGCAATAGCCTCGCATTCGAAGTTGCTCAATGAAGACATGTTAAGTCTGGCTAAAGGTGAGTGGTGCGACACGCCAACCAACTGTACGTCTGTGATAAAAGGCATCAAAACACTGAAACCAAATACCTTTGATGTTTATGAGTAGTTGAGTAATGGAACTGAGCACTAATTAGATTTCCTTTACCTTTTTCTTGGTCTCCAGAAGTACAGACAAGTGATGAACCTTGGCACCACCATAGATGGCACCATTTCGTTCATTGAGAACAACAGCTGCGATAATCAAACGTATTCCGCAGTCATGCTCGGATTTCCTCTGCCAGTGATGAACGGCTTGAAACCCTAAGGAATGTTTTGAATTGGTTTCAAAACTGGTATCGCGATGTCCCCCAGAAAAACCGACAGCAGCATTATCTCTCTCATCAGACCTATTTTGATCTGCAATCTGCACTGATCGGGTTCGAAGAAATCGTTAAAATAACAACGACCCGATTCCCTAATGCACAGCTGCAACCGTCATCCTTCAACACCGACATCGTAGAGAACATCTTTTGCCACAGAGAAGTTTAAACGGCAGCAATAACATCCAACTTGCCTGCAGTATAGCATGGACTGAACAGCATCCTGCTGGGACACGCCACAAACAGCAAGAGGAAATGCTGGAAATGTGCAGCCGTTCGCTTTCCAACGCACAGGAAGTCTCCGTCAAACTCGTGCAGGTCCATTGCAGTGAGCTGTGCTCGCGGTGGAAGCGACGTCGATTTCCAGTAGGAAAATTTCCAGTGTCGCCTTTTAGCGAGCTCACGGCGTTACGCGACGAGCTCCTCGACGATCGCTTCTTCGTTACTGGTGTCACAGCGTTGCCAAACCACAACAGCAAGAGGAAATGATGCTGTGATTCGTGAATGGTATTGTAGAGCATTCCTTATGCCACCATGCATCACAGAAATCACAGCCTACCCACAACTCTGCCTGCTCGTCATCGTACAGTCCGTCGCATGCAGGGCAAAGGGGGATTCGTCTCCCAGCTCCCCAGCCTCCATACGATCCGTCTCCGTGACAACCGTATCGGCGCGGTCACCGTGGCGACGTACGGCGGCGGCGCGTTGCTGCGTCTGCTGGACCTCGGCTACAACGAGATCGTGACGATCGAGCAGGGCCCTCTCACGGGCTGCCGGAGCTAGGCGAGCTCCACCTGAACGGAATCGCCTACGGGCAAGCTGTGGGATGCTCAGATGTTTGGCGCGCCGCCAACCCAACGCCGCCTCTACCTGCACAACAACGCGATAGGTGGCGCCACGCTCGCGCAGCGCCAGGTTGCGCTACCTGACGCTCGACAACAATGCGCTGACGTCGCTGCACCAGGGGCGCTGGTCGCAGCTGCCAAGTCTCGCGCACCCTGGCCTCAGCGGAAACGCCATCGCCGCGCTACCAGAGGGCGCTCTACCCGATCACGGGATCAACGTCAAATCTTCGTTACTGGCGAATAGGGCATACTGTAACGATGCCTACTACTGCTGCTCTTTGCTAAGGCACACATCGCACTTCCCAATGTTACAGTTGTCGGATCACTATAGGCTTGGAAATGTATTGATAGACGCATTC